CTGGCTGTGTTAAGTCGTTACTCTGAACCGAAACGCCAATCAAATTGGTGGGATTTGGAAAGGCACCGTCTTGATAGACGCTATTTTCCACCTTGGATTTGTCGTTGGAACTATAAAAATAGCCAGGCTAAATTTTGGTCATTTATCTTTCCCTAGGTGACACTACTCATACGAAGAGTTAAGAGCACAAGACGCAGTCAAATCACCTAGCACATGCGTGCAATAAAGGTCAAAAGAGCTAGGCTTTCACTTAGTACCCATTTAACTACACCAAGGCCAGCCTGGTAGCATTGGCAAGGCGTCGACTTTCGCGAAAATGGAGCTGCAAATAAGTGCTTGTTCAAGTACTCCCCCACCTCCATTCATGCTTCTCACTTAAACAGACGTGTAGATTTGCACTCTTGAGGCGTAAAGGAGCCGCTGCCACCGCCCTTTGCAGCGCATCTGCGGTGGAGAAAGCCACGAGGGCCCTGTCCATCCATTTGCTCAACGTCAATTTGGTGATTGCACTGAATTGACTGAAGAGGCTGCGAATGCAGTCAAGTCTTGTCAGAGCCGAAAAGCTACTAACAGCCAACCAATGGCCGCGTTCGTCATTGCTGTACTCTGTTGCTTTTCTAGGAAAAGACAAAAGGCACTTAGACCCACCAATATGTGGCTCAGAGTGCAGTAGGAACCGTGTAGGTTGTGATTTCCGCATGCTAAATACTGAACATAGAACCATGGATGTTACCATTTGCAATGAATGTTGTAAAGGCTTCAAAAGATGCCATAAGTTTTATCACAATAGGCCGGCATTTTGCCTAGTTAGTGAGACTTAGGCAATGTAATATGCCCTTTAATTAGACACACTTTATTTGTCACCTAATTCAAATTGCAACGGTCCTACATTTTCCTTTTCGATTGGCACGAGATTTTGACCTAGCCAGTCAGATTAATTTCTTTACTTGATTTACTCCTGCAAATTTGCCCACGCCTAAGCAAGTGGGACTGATTAGCTAAAACTAAACGCTGCCCTAGCCGCGTGCTAGTGCCGCCAACACAGTCAGCCTCTTTATAGTCAATGAAGTAGTCTTCCTGGACTGTAGTAGTTGCAGCCTTAATTTTACTTTAGACAATTACTTTTGTGCTTTGACAATTACGATGACGACGCTGGCATTGGTATCGCCAGAGGCAATGCAAACCGGAGGAGGTGTAGTTATGGACCAAATTCTATGTTAGTGCCAGGCTTAACCATGTGCAAAACTCACACGGTTCTGTAATCTTCGGTAGTAGAGGAAATGGGGGTATGCCTTTGACTGTTGAGCTTGTGCGGTTGGGCTCGCAGGGCATCAAATGAGGCGCATTAATGCAATTAGACATGGATGGGAAGCCAAAAGTACTTAATACACGGTAATATAGTCAATGCCATGTGATCTTTTGGTGGTACTGCCTAGCCTCCTCGTTTCCTAACCCGCCTGCGTACAGGTAAAAGCCTTTACATTTTGATAGCAAAACTAATTTGCCCACTAATCACCAACAAGTGGATGATTGACTAACAGGGTCTTCACAGCTCTGCTAGCATCTGCAATTCGACCTTAAGGATATGACAAGATAAATGGGATTGCGGAAAGCGGATAATCTAATGTTTACCAAAGATCTAATTGTCGTTAATCTTGCCTTCCCTCTAATTATGCAAAGGGCCAAGAATTCAAAAAGTACAATAAGTGCAGCACTCGTCATAAAAAGTGTGGAATGGAAAACCATGTTGACTGGGAAAGGTAGAATCCTGTCTCAGTTTCTCCTCAATGGTTTCTGGCTGCTCTGTGCCTAAAATTGAATAGAAACGAAAAATGAGTATCGGCGAATGATCAGACAGAGGCAGAAAACTTTGAGACCGCGAAGACCTCTGCTTCTCCCACAAGTTTACCCAATAGCGAGAGCATTTAAGACTGTTGTCCAGTCCAGAATGCTCCATTCAGTAATGCCTAGGAGAATTCTTTGCTTTCTTTTTGGCATGAAATTCCGCTCAGCAACACGCAATGTCATAAGGACGAGGCCACGTCGTCTGGTATGGAGGTCATCACGGTAAACATGCTCAAAGGACACAAAGTCGCTACGGTGGTGCAAATGATCCAAAATATAACATCTCCTAGAAGTGATGAAAATGAGGTAGAGGAAATCCTATTCACTCGTTTACTGCTCCAGTATGGAAGAAAAATTGGAAGATTGGAGAGGAGTTATTCCACGAATAAGATACGTTAATTCTAGCATCAAGTTTGGAGGAGATTTGAACAAGCTAAATGCGAAATTACCTACCACTGTACTTGAAGTCAAGGGTTCTATTAATGTTTGCCACGCCTTCTGTGTGAACGTGCCTTCCTTACAACGTCTATAGAGGGTAAAATCAAAAGACAAATTAGTAACATCGCGACAGATTATGGCTCATGCCTCTCACATCCCGTGGGGAACATGGTCAACTTCTCTGACGCCTCAGAGTAAAGTCATTTGAAGAGCAAAACAAAAGCTCC